CCTGCAAGAAAAGTAAGAGATAAGTTTGAATCCTCTGAACAAATTGCGAACGGAGTGTAAATCCGCCAAAGAATTGAACAAAGAAAACCTGATGGCCCCTCCTCAAGCTGACTCTGGACGACCCGGCGCTTGGGCTCGTCTTCATCATGGAAGACGAACCCGAGCTTGGCGAGAGCTTCGTCGTTCACTAAGACCCCGAGCTCGTAAGGGCCGCCCGAACACAACTTGTCCGTGTCAGCAATAGCCTTGGAAGAGGCAAAGGGTTTGGACCGTCTACAAAAAGAGCTGAGGGGAGTGTCTCGGAAGGGGGAGGCCGCCCCCACGGAGACGAAAACAAACTTGGACTTCCAAGTCCTGTTGGATTCCTTCTTCGTTCTAAAAAGTCTCTCTTGCCGCTGGTAGAGGGCGGCAAAAGAACCCCCATCCGACCCGGAAGACTTCGCCACTCGGAACAAGGTGAGTAGGCGTTCAAGGTCGGCCCGCACGCCCATCTCCCGACAGCGAATCAAGAACCCCGCCAAGTACCGGTGCGAGTTCGGCACCAATTGACACGGGAGGAAGTCAAAGTACTTGAAAAAGTCGGTGACCAAAGTCTCCAAGGGGAAGCGGAAGCCGCTCTCAAGGGACTTGAGATGGATGGCGAAGTAGCCCGGAGGAGCGTCGAAGACCGACTCCTCTAGAGTTGGGCGACGAACGGTCACGAGGGGGCCGGCGTAGCGCATCGCCTTGAGGAACTCGTCACTCGACAAGTCGCACTTGCACTCGCGGATGAGCGAGTCCACGAGCAATGTGCGCTTCTGAACGAAGAGTGGAAGACTCGACAGACATGGAATGAGCAGAACAGAGGGACTGACCTCGAGTGTGCCGCCGAAGAGACGGTCAGAGAGCAGCGAACGGCGGCACGGAACGGCAAGAGAACGACAACCCTAATATTTTCTCTCTCTAGAATTTGTGAGAATGAAGAAAGCCTTGGGGATTATTTATACTAAAATCGGGCCCGAATAGTGATGGGCCGAGCATGTGTCACGATGGGCCGCCACTTGGGAGAAGCGAAGCGCCACAACCGTTCGTGGGGGACTCCAAACGTCGCCGCCAATCCGCCAAGCTACGCGTGGGCCCACGAGCTGACCGTCCACAATGTTTTCTACTCTCACGCGCTCCGCTGCTAGACGCCACGGAACCCGGAGAGTGGGGGGCTTCTGATGGGGAATAACCCCACACCAGCCTAGGGCTGACATCAGCATAAATTTCCAAAGGATCGGGCTTGGACGTTTCTGCCCAGCCCTGCGCTCCGCTCGTCCTTCCTGCCCGGCTCTGCGCTCCGCTCGTCCTTCCTGCTCGGCCGACCAAGCCGAGCCCGAGCCCCGCGACAATGACATGCGGAAAGCGACGTTCAACGGAGGCTTGAGGAAAGCGATAGGATGAAAGGGACAAGACGTGCGGAAAACGACGTTCAACGAAGACTTGGTGAAAGCGATAGGATGAAAGGGACAAGACGTAAGAGCAGGTGACGTCCGCTAGACGACGGGCCTCGAACAGAGAGCTTTGACTTAGTGTATTGCACCCCCTATAAAAGGGGTGGCACCCCTCATTGTAATGGACCGAATTTTGAATTCAATATACTCCCACTTTGCGCACACACACTCTCTCTCTAAAACTTTATATTATTTCATACTCTCGGTGGTTTATAGCCATCACACGCTTTCTTAATAGTATTCTATAGTGATAAAAAAATTAATGTTGTTGGATTTAAATTTCTTTTATATCTTTATTTCTCAGCGTGTCAGAATAGAGTTTCACTCTCTGGGAATTGATTTCCCATTTCCTCACTGATCCGGAAATCCCCTGATTTCTTGGTATTGATCAATTTTTTTGTCAGATCTTTGTTCATGATCTAGAATTTTTTTGTGGCGTTGGCCATAGAAACTAAGAAAAAATAATAATGGGGTGTGTATTAAAAAAAACCTTAGACTTGTGAGTATCTCTTAGATCTAAAGAGGTTTTGTTGTAGTATGAAATTTGAGAAGTGGGGCGCCCGCCATTGGCGGATCTACTTAGAACCAATTGGGGGCCAATGCCCCCTACTAAATTTTGGTGTTAAATTATTTTTTTTGTTTTGAAAAAAATTTCTATACTTTGGAATGCATGCCCTCATCTAAATTGGAGTTGATCCCATCTAAAATTATGCACCCCAACACAAATTAATAGAATCTTATGTAATTAAGCTAGTTATTAATTTTTTGTTTAATTTTATTAAAGTGTATTTTATTAAATATACTTTATTTTCTATAAAGAGATTTATATTACATACTAAACAATATTTTACATTCAATAATTATTTAAAATAGAATTATTTTTTTGTTATTTCATATTGTCTATTTAAAAAAATCAGGGACGCTACCCCGAGATCCCTGACTAATTATGCCCCCATCTACCCAAATTCTTAGATCCGCCACTGGCGCCTGCGGATGTACAATGGGAACATAGCGAAGCCGAACAGGCTGGGAATTTAAAAAACCTTAGACTTGTAAGAATCTTTTAGATTTAAGGATATTACGGAGTATGTTTTAATAAGAAATTTGAGGAGAGGGGGTTCAAGAATAGGTCCTAGATCCAATTGTATTGAGATCGAGATTCCTAATTTGCCTTCATACGATATGTGTATAAATCTCACCTCTTAAGGGGGGGGATCTAAAAATTAATCAATACACAACATATTGTAATATCATATTTTTATTTCTTATTTTTTATTTGATCTTGAAATTCATCGATAGTCTAATTGGAGGGACCGGTCTAAAGTAGACTACTTGGTCCAAAAAGTTCTATTTTTTACCAAATCAGACTAGTTTACAAAAACGACAATATTTATGTCGCTCTAAGAAGATGGGATATCCTAGCAATCTCGGGTACCTATAGCATATACCCAAAATGTATGATACGGTGTATTCCGTACATTGCATGAATACTCATTTTCGACTAACTGAATACTCATTTCAAACATATCTGAATTTTAGAAAAATGAGTAACTAGGTACTCGGGAGTGAATATTCAATTATTCGAAAACTAGTATTCAGTTACTTATAAATGAGTACTCATCGCGGATGTACGAAAAAAAGTGTACAACCGGTTGTATAGTATATTGGGAGCAATCCCCTTCTTGTGCTCTTTCGTACAATAATACTTTGTAATTGAACACTTTATTACTTGGGAGAATTCCATGTATTAGAGTAAAAAATATAAAACACCAAGATAGGAGTTTTAACTCTTTTAGGATTAAAGTGGGATTTCACACTATCATTATTTCACTATGATGGTTGAGTTCAAGCGGAAGACAACCTTCCTAAAAAGGCCAGTTTTCTCCGAGTGTCGTGTCTCTTGTGAATTGAGCGAAGAGATTTAACTATTTTTTTAACTAGGCAAAGGTTTGGACGAGTCTGGAAGTCTTCTAGATTCAAATCAAAAAAGAAAAACTATATTACTGAACACTTTTGAATGAAAATAAAATAGTACATGTATATGCCTAGACTTTGTGTCAAGACATCATTTATGTTAACTACTAGTGAAATTTGCTAGGACTAAAACATAATTTGCCCTAAAGTCATATCGGGAAAGTTTTAGTGCAGGTAAATTTCTCTAGAAGGGAATATGGATATTCCGAGGCTTCTTCTTCTCTCTGCTTCGCTGGTCGCTCTTCTCTCCATAGCCTCAATCCCCCTTCTCAATCTCAATGGCCACTTCGCCAGAGTGTTGAATCGGAGATCGTTGGCGCAAGATGCGGACTTGGTGGTCCGGAACGCCACCATTTACACCGCCGACGAATCGCTCCCCTTCGCGGACTCCATGGCCATCCGCGGCGGCCGGATCCTCCGTGTCGGCACCTATTCTTCAATCCAGGTTGGGCCTGAGTGCAGTCACTGTATACTAAACTATACTCCCTTCTCTTTTGTCTTCCTACTCTTTTACTAAACAAATTAGCTTCATTTCTTCTCTCTAAAACAATAGTTTAATTAGATTTAGAGTAAATTGCCAAAATGGTCTTTTGTAACAAGGTGTTTTCCCAATTTAGTCATCAATAAATTTTAATTACCTACTAGTCCTTCGTAAATAATGTTACTCAAATGATGATTAGTTGGTGGATATTTTGGTATTTTTATCATTCAAATCTTAAGTATATTCTCGAAGTAGTTATTTCTGTACAACTAAATGTAAAATTAAAAAAATACATTGACTATAAATAATTCATGATATATTTAAAACTTATAAAAATCTTTTAAATTTCAAATTAAATACACATATTAAATTAGAAAAAATCATTCTGGAAAAGTACTTCATTATAAATGATCATTTTAAGAATTAATTCTAAATTTAGCGGATAAAAAATACCAAAATACCTTCAATTAATCCTCATTTGAGTAACATTATTTACAAAGGACCATCTTGGAAATAAATCTCAATTATAGAGGACCACGTAGGTAATTAAAACTTATTAAGGACTGATTAGGGAAAACACATTATTACAAAGGACTATTTTGGGAATTTACTCTTAGATTTATCTTATAAAATATTTTTAAAATATATTTTTAACTAATTAATATACCGTATAATTTTTATTCTATTATGGGTCAAAAGTCGATCTTGATTGACTGTAAAGAGTAAGAATTGGCCAAATATGCGTGACGGAGGGAGTATATAGTTTTAGAAAAGATTATTTTGACTTTAATAGAGTTTTAAAACAGCTGAAAAATTTAAAAAGTATGGTTAGAATGAGTTAAGGTGAGAGAAATTTTATTAACTACAAATTCTTTAGTACTTCAAGATGAAACGGAAGTTTTTTTTGGTATAGAGGAAAAAAATTCTTTAGTACTTTAAGGAGAAAGGGAAGATTTTTTGGTATAGACGAAAAGAATGGGAGGTTTTTTGGGATAGACGAAAAGAAAAGAAAGTTTTTTGGGATAGACAAGAAAAAGTGAAAAAATATTTATTAGATGATGGAGTAGCATGTAGGGAGGACTGGGACCAGACCGGATAAGGTAAGTCGGACCCGAACCGGATCGGATAAAAGTAATTTTTTATTTTTTAAAATTAATTTTATTTATTTAATTTAAAGCACCCAATTGTACAAATGTATTTCAACTATTATTTTTTAATGTGTAACATTTACTAAACATTACCGAACAGGCAAACACCATCCTTTTTAATTTTTTAACATATTTTAAATAAAATATATCCTCCATCTGTCTTATAGAAAACTTGTTTGCAATTTTTTTAATTGTTTTTGTTTTTGAGTTTTTTTTACAATGTTCATTTTGTTGATTATACTTTCGTTACTGATAAAGTACAAACTTAAATATAGTATTGGCACATAAATTAGAAATACATTAGATTGCCAATATAAAAGTGTTGTTTACTTTTTTCACAATTTTCATATAAAAAATCTTTAGACATCCTTAGAATTTGTATCTTATTTTCAATTGGACTATTTTAAAGAAATTATGTTGAAAAATAAAAACATAACATTTGAAACTTTTAGTCTTAAAGTTAAAGTAACATTATGAGTATAAGCAAACACTTTAAAATCTGTATTACAAACTTATATTGAAAAATACGGCGGAGATCTTTTGACCTTGGAACCCTGAGTCACATTATGACCCGGGCCCCTACGGTGCTCCGTCCGTAAAATAGATGGTTCCTACCCCCTAACCCCCTCCTAAACCCTACTACCCTATCCCCTACCTACCCACCCCACCCCAGCACCCCCCTGCCCCCCTCCCCCATTTGCCGGTTGGCTACAGT